CCTCAGGCTGCTCCACTGGACCCAGTGCAAGTGAACATCTAGAGGCCTGAGTGTCCCAACATCTGGCCCTACAGGCTGAGAGCACAGATGTCATATGGGGAGGGGCATCACCTGGGGGCGGCCTGGGAGCAGGACTGAGAGGTGGCCCCAGTCAGCAGTGTCTTAGATTTGGGGTGATCCATGTGTCAGGCGAAAGACATTATTCATTTTGACAACTGAGGAAATAGAGGGAAAGCCAAGTCCAGCAACTTGCTTATGTTCACATAGTTAAGGGGTTGGCAAGAACTTGACCCAATAAGGTTTCTGCCAGGGTAAATACAAGGGTCCCTAGGTAAAAAGGGGACTAAGCAGCTGCTAGGGAAAAGGGGTCCAGGACTCACATCTCACCCACTAGGAAACCTCTGCGGTCCTTGTCCCCTCCTCTCTCCATGGGCAAAGACCTCACGACCCCTAGAGGTCAGGGAACCTTTTATCCAGACGCCAGTGTAAACAATCTAATCCAGGTTATTTAAAAATGAGGGTCACTGCATTGCTTTAAATCACCCGCCAAGAAATGGGTCCTATCAGATCAAGGTGGGGTTTGACTCTTAAATCTGCACAAGCAGAACCCTGGGTTTAAAACTGAAAGTCTCCACTGTAGTGGCAGAGAAGAGACCAATTTGATACTACCTTGAGGTTGTTATTATTACTACATTCAAAAAAACCAAAAACCTGTTGCCAATTCCCACTCAGCAACCCTGCAGGACAGAGTAGAACTGCCCCGCAGGGTTCTAAGGAGGGGCTGGTGGAGTCAAACTGCTTTTTGCTGAGCAGCTGGGCTCTTAACCATTGCGCCACCAGGGCTCCACTGCTACATTTAGGCATCCCAAAACAGAGATTTAAAAAATCTCAATGTCTCCCTCTTTGTGCCCTCTCCAGACACTCCATGAGAAAAACACCTGCTTAGACACAGAAGGATTTAAGGAGGGTTAGGAGGATCATCAGCACCATTTAGTGGAGTCACACAGAACTGCAGGTCTGTGGCTGAGAATTCCCAACCCCTTCTGTCTGTGCCTCTCACAAAGACTTTGTAATTAGCTGCCCATTATGCTCCACCTCATGGAGATCCTATGTATAAGAGTGCAAAGTTGCTCAGTCCTGTGCTATCTTCGTGATCATTGGCATGTTTCATTCCTGTCAGGCAATATCCTATTCTGATCCATAAGGATATCATTGCCTAATTTTAGAAGTAGATTGCCAGGCATTTCTTCCTAGTCTGTCTTAGTCTGGAACCCCTGCTGAAACCTGTCCACCTGGGTGTCCCTGCTGGTAGTTGAAATACTGATGACACAGATTCCAGACATCACAGCAACATGTAACCCACCACAGTACAACAAAGGGACAGATGGGTGGGGGCTCAAAGAGACTAAACCAAAACAAAAACCAAACCCACTGCCATTAATTCTGAGTCACAGGGACAATAAGGGCAGAGCATAATTGCTCCATAGGGTTTCCAAGGCTGTAAATCTTTACGGAGGCAGACTGTGCCAGCATTCTACCCCACAGCAGCTGGCGGGTTCCAACTGCCGACCATTCAGTTAGCAGCTGAGTGCTTTAACCATTGCACCACCAGTGTTCCTTCAGAGACTAGGCCCGTAAAGTACTTGTCCGTAAATAGGGCCTTAAAGGGCTAGAAATTGTATCGTTGACCTTAAAGTTAAACATCTGAACCATATGTTTAAAACTGAACATTTTCCATCTATGTGTAAAAAGAAACAAAGATTTTGAAGTTTGGTTATTTTGTTCACCACTTGATAAGCACTGCCTAACAAGGTACTATTAGGTGAAATAACAGGATATTTAAACATGGTTATTGTCCCAAGGAAGGAGCCCCATTGGCGTGGTGGTTAAGCACTCTGCTGCTAACTGAAACGTCAGCGGTTAGAAAACACCTAATGCTACAGGAGAAAACGCCTGGAGATCTCTTCCCGTAAAGATTGCAGCCTAGGAAACCCTATGGTGCAGTTCTACTCTATCCTATATGGTCACTGAGTTGGAATGGACTCGACAGCACACAACAACATTGACCAAGGACATTCTGAGACAGAAGGATAGTGTCCAAAAGCCCTCCTGGGCTCCACCACACACGGGCACAGCTATTGCCAACGCCTATGCTTGGTCTCCTGTATACTATGAAACTAGAGTGATGTCCAGTATATATTAAGTGGAAAGAAGTACATATTTATGTGAAGAAAACATGATAAATAACTAACATACACTCATGTATGTATTTCTGTATTCTGGAGGAGGGATATTTCTGAGAAACATTGGAAGGTTACACAGGAAACAAAACGGAAATGGTTAGTAACTGGTGTTGATATTAACAGAACAGTGTCGGCGGAAGTCAGCCTTCTGGATACAGCTCTTCATATAGTCTTCAGTTTTGGACAATATGAAATTTTTATATGTTAAAGGAATAATTCCAAATAAAAGCAATCCTTAACATTAAATGTACACAAAAACAAGTAAACGTAATAACATATCAAACTGCCACTGCCCATCTGGGAGTTTGACATACTGTGATGGCTGGCATGTTGCTGATACAGGAAGCTATACCAGCAGTACTTCAAATACCAGGAGGGTCACCCATGGTGGACAAGCATTAGTGAAGCTTACAGACTTCAACAGCATAGGAAGAAAGACCTGGCAATCTACTTGAGAAAATCAGTCAATGAAAATCTTATGGATCACAACAGAACACTGTCTGATACTGTACTGAAAGATGAGCCCTCTGGGTTGATACTACTCAAACACAGCAATGATCATGAAGATGGTGCAGAACTGGGCAACATTTTGTCCTGTTATGTAGGAGGTCAAGGAGCCCTGGAGGTGCAATGGTTTAGCACTTGGCTACTAACCAATTCGTTCACAGTTCAAACTCACCCAGCAGCTTCATGGGAGAAAGACCTGGCAATCTGCTTCTGTAAAGATTACAGCCAAGAAAGCCCTATGGGGCAATTCTACTCTGTCACATGGAGTTGCTAGGAATTCGAATCGACTCCATGGCACACAACAAGATAAATAAGGTCACCAAGAGCTGGAGCCAACTCGATGGCAGGAAACAGTAACAAACTGATCACATAACCATGCACAGGAGAGTTTGTGCTCAAGCCAATTTTTAAGCACAATAACCTTGTGTTAATATCCTTAATGTAAATGTATAATCAGTATGTAGAAAAACAAAGGCAAAAAACTCAGTAATTGAGAAAGTAAGCTTTCAGTCAGTTCTATTAGTATTATGACACTGAAACTATTTGCATATTATTAGGAACCAAGGTTTTTATTAGAAGAAATGCAAATATAAAATAACAGAAAGTGACAATTGCCCATTAACTTTTATCCCGGTAATCTTCCTTGCTTTAACCTAATAAATCAGCTGTGAGCAAACATTTCTGAAAACCATTACATTTCTTGCTTGAAACCCATCTTCCTGCCATGTTTTTGCTTGCCAACTTCAAACAAGTAACTTTCCAGTGCCCCATGACACCCAGAAGTCATAAAAAACCTCTTACCTCATCTTACCCTTTGGAGCTGAATTGAGATTTATCCTGAAGACTCTTTCCTATTTCAACAGGCTGAATAAAGTCTAGTTTCCCTATTTAACACTGTCCAGCACAATTTTGCATATTTAACATTGTCTGACACCATTTCTTATATGTAATACGTATATAATTTATACATTTACATATTTATTTATATAAATACGTAGATAACCTTAAATTTGTTATTAGGAATAAGCATGAATTTATGATGTAAGAAATAATGTATTTTCTATACTCACTGAAATGCCGAGACAAAACTGACTCAATGGGAACAGGTTCTGGTTTATCACCGAGCCCATGTATTTCACACACCTTGGTTTTTAAAAGGAACCAGAGGTTTGGGAAGAAAGGGTTGATTCCGTATCTGGAACAGGAAAGTACAAAGTAATCCAGGGACTTCTTTTGCACTAAAACACTAATAAGGTTGTATCAACAATCTGATTGGTGAAACTAAGAAACTGAATAAACTCTAATTTTTATTAACTTAAATATATAAATAAACTTGATTCAGTATGTTTGGAGCAAGCTGGAATTGTAAGTCTACTTTTCAACAATAACGTTTATGAAACGTGCTGCTTCTGGATTCTAGAAAATGGAGTACAAAAAAAGGAAATATAAAATGTCTCATAAATAAATTCATATTGCTTAGTTTCATTCATAATTTTTACCTTGACAATAAATGGACATATTAGGTTAAATAAGATTCTTCATTAAAAATTTCACATTTATATATTTATGTATCTAATATGGCTGCTAAAATATTTTAAATTACGTCTTTTACGTGCATTAAATTTCTATTAGAACTGTGCAAGACTCAATGTCTGTATTACAAAAAATACATAAGACTAATTAAACAAAATCATAGTAACACAAATAGGGTAAAACCTGTGAGAGCCGGAATGTGATGGGAGTGTCTTGTTTTACCAGGTCTTGTGTATTTTCCACCTTTTACTGGGTACTTATCACTTTCCTTTTGCTCTCTATTAAGAATCCTACATCATAAACACCCAATGAGTTTTTCTTCTCTGACCGGTTTCTGACTTACATGGGTGCTGGCTGTCATAGCTTTGACTGTATTCAGAATTCTGAACATTTTAACATTTACAAGACAAGCAGAAGAATGTTCTGTGTAAGACAGATTAAGCAGATCTAGAAATAAAAAGTTAATGTGGAAATATGGTTTGGATCCTAACTTCAAAAAACCCAACAGTCAGATAATTAATGGACAACTGGAGAAATTTTCATTTGTTTTGAGGGACAATGAAGATCTGGGTTGTTCTGGTAGGAAACTGACCTTATTTGTAGGGGCTTAAAGGGTGAAGTGAATGTCTGCAATTAACCATCGGTTGTTTCTTCATCATAATTCATTTACATGGACAAACTGCTTACATTTATAAAGCATCTCTAAGCCAAGAATTTTTATATGATTACTGAGGTTTGAGGAATCACAACAAAATTTCCCACATTCTGTATATTCAACATATTTGTCTCCAGGGTGATTCCTTATGTATGCAGTGAGGAATAAGGAATAACTAAAGGTTTTCCCACATTCCTTACTGAAGGCCTCTCTCCACTGTGAATTCTTATATGTCTAGTGAGCTGTGAGAACTGACAAAAGGCTTTGCTGCATTCCTTACATGCATAAGGCCTTTCACCACTGTGAGTTCTCATATGTGCAGTGAAGTGCGAGGACCGACGAAAGGCTTTGCCACATTGCTTACATTCATAAGGCCTCTCACCACTGTGAGTTATCGTATGTTTAGTGTAGTCTAAAGAGTAACAAAGGGCTTTGCCACATTCCATATTTTTGTAAGGTGTTTCTCCACAGTGAGTTCTCATATGTGCACTGAGGTGTGAGGAGTAACTATAGGCTTTGCCACATTCCTTACATTCATAAGGCCTCTCACCACTGTGACTTCTCATATGTGAAGTGAGGTATGAGGACCCACGAAAGGCTTTCCCACATTCCTTACATTCATAAGGCCTCTCACCACTGTGAGTTCTCATATGGATAATGTAGTTTGACGAGTAACAATAGGTTTTGCCACATTCCCTACATTCATATGGCCTCTCACCACTGTGAGTTCTTACATGTGAAGTGAGGTGCGAGGAGCGACAAAAGGCTTTCCCACATTCCATACATTCATAAGGCCTCTCACCACTGTGACTTCTCATATGTGAAGTGAGGTGTGAGGACCGACTAAAGGCTTTGCCACATTCCTTACATTCATAAGGCTTCTCACCACTGTGAGTTCTTACATGTGAAGTGAGGTTTGAGGACCGACTAAAGGCTTTCCCACATTCCTTACATTCATAAGGCTTCTCACCACTGTGAGTTCTTATATGTGAAGTGAGGTGTGAGGACTGACTAAAGGCTTTGCCACAATCCTTACATTCATAAGGCCTCTCACCACTGTGAGTTCTTATATGTGAAGTGAGGTGTGAGGAGTAACTAAAGGCTTTGCCACATTTTTTACATTCATAGGATTTCTGTCCAGTAAGAGTTCTCACTGCAGTGCTGAGGTAAGAGGGACAACTGCAGGCTTCTCCACATTCCTTACACTGACAGGCACTGCATCCAGAGGGAGATTTGTTATGATGCTTAAGTGATGAATGATTCATCAAGGATTTTCCACACTCAAGGCTTTCAGAGAGATGTGTTTCCATAGGAGTTCTTTTGAGCACAGAAAGATTTGGAATCTGGCTGAAGGTCTGTCCACAATGATTGTCTTCATTACTTTCACAGAGGTTCTCTAACATACGCCTCCTGTTAAAAATAGGCAGCATGATGTTGGACACAAATTTGTTACTATTACACCATTACAATACACATCAAACATGTTTCTTTTACTCTGAACTCTCATGTTTCATAAGTTAAATAATCTAGCAGACATTGTACCATTGTTTTTACTGTTTCTAAAATATGGTGCTATCTAACGATTGTATTTATGTGAAATGTTTCAAATATTAAATATCTGACTCACATTTATGAAAATTTTGTCCTGTGAAAATTCTGTGAACACACAATACTAGTGCTGTTTTTTATACATATATAAGATAACTGGATGGCACAAGTCTGTACTGCCATACGTATGAGTGTGTGTGTGAGTGTGTATGTATGTATATATAATTGTTCTTCTTAAGTGCTGTTGATTCCAGCTTAGTGACCATGTGTGACCAAAAGGCTAGTCATTCAAAACCACCCAGCAGCACTGCCAAGAGTTGGAAAAGACAAGACAGCAACAGGTTTGAGATGTGCACACAGAAATCCCTACTCCTTATCAACTATCTCATTATCTGAGATTTCTCATTTGCAACAATAGAAAAAAAAATCTACTGATCGTTTTGCATATTAATGAGGGTCTCAGAATGACATCAGAGACCTGGGCAGTACTAACCCACACCCTCCGGTCCCTCCTGCTGGCAGGGTTGCCATATCCAGCTGCTGGGCAGGGCCAGGCTCCTCTGAGATCACAGCATCCAGGTGGATGCACAGGCACTGCTCAGCCAGCAGGCACCTCTTTCTGGGTTCCTACCTCCTATGCGACCTGAGGCCCTGCAACTCAAAATTTCTGTGGGGGGGAAAGGTAGGAAAAAAAGTGCAATGGAGAGGGTGTTTGGAAGAAAAGCTTGCGAGTTTAATGACATCCCAAAGTGATGTGAACTGGGCCTGAAGCCTCCACCTTGGTGGGCCTGGTTGCATAGCAAGGCTCACAGCTCCCTCACAAAATTCCCGAGCCTTAGTGACTCACCAGGCCAGGAGAGAATACACTCTGGGATCTAGAACGCAGGGCTTGTAGGGGTGGGACTGGAGCCCTGGACGTGGCTTCACGAAGGGAGCTCTAATGTAGCACAGGAGGAAGGGGAAGTGGTGAAGCTGTGGGTCCTCCAGGCACACAGCCTGGGTTTACTCAGCTTTGTCTCCTTCAACCTTCTTTCCCCACAAAGGAATAATCCATAAATGACTCATCACATTAATGAATACACAAGCAAATCTTAGCTGTTATGTCTATGAACATATTTTCTAGATAAAAAAACTGGACAAATGGATGGTCTGAAAACAAAAACAAAATATCCTTCATCTTCACGTGATGCCGATTTTCGCAGAACTATCTGGTCTTTTGAAGTTAACCATATCGAAACGTGAGGACTGTGTATGTGTGTGCGTATACATACATGCACGCATGCATACGTACATATACACATACATACATATGTTACACACATATAGCCATAAAAACTCAGGAACTCTGCTGGGGCAGTGGTTAAGCACTTGGCTACTACCTGAAGGTTGGCAGTTTGAACCCAAAACCAGCTACATGGGAGGAAGATGCAGCAGTCCGCTTCCTTAAAGATTACAGCCTTGGAAACCCTATGGGGCAGTTCTATTCTGTCCTACAGAGTTGCTATGAGTCGGAATAGACTCGACAGTAATGGGTTTCCATACATACGTGTGTGTACACGCATATGTATGTGTGCGTGTGTATACTTGTTGTTTCAGTGCTGCTGAGTTAATTCCAGTTCATAGTGACCCCATGTGGCAGAAAACAGCTCCATAGGGTTTTCTTGGCTGTAATTATTACCGAAGCAGATTGCCAGGTGTTTCTCCCACAGAGCCACTGAATAGGTTCGAATTGCCAATCTTTTTGTTAGCAATCGAGTGCCTTACCAGTTGTTCCACCTCGGGTCCTCAGGCATATAAATATTTTAATGTCATTATACCTTCTGAAGACTCTCCTGAAACACTGCTGTCTCTCACGTAAATGACACTCACCTCACATGTGTTTTCTGGTTGTTATTCTGATCTTCAGTGCCAGGCAATTCACAGATTTCTCCTACCATCGAGAACCAGGTGTCATTTTTCATGAATCGTACTATTATATTTTCAGTGGATAGCTTGTCTCCGTCACTAAGGTTTTGAGAAGCTGACCCAATGATTTAAGGTGAGGTTCACAACATGAAAAAAAAAAAAGAGAAAATACTCAGAGGGAAAAGGTAGCTGTGAGCAAAGAAAGCTTCTGACACATTTTGCTATTTCCACACTTTGGCAATGTTGAGAAAGAAACTTACTAGTAGATAACTTCCATGAAGATTGAAAGTGATGGGGATATAAATAGGGTGTAATTAGAAGACCAAAGTAGAAAGGTATTGGACACAATGTATGTGAAACATGAAAAGAGGACAGTCTTTCTCCATGAACCACGTGTGTTAGGATTGATGAAAGTCAAAAAAGCAAGCTCAGGTATCTGTGAAGCACAAACTCTTCAACCCAAAAGAGACTTTTTCTAATTGATTTTTTCAAATCTCATTCCCTCCATGCAGGCCCAGTCCTTCAAACGATTCTTGCCTCCTGGTGCTCCTGACACAGTGGTCCTGGACAAGTGCTATCTGCACTCTCCTCAGGTCTTCCTCTTGCTACTCTGGGAGAACACTTGGGTGTAGCTGATGTGGTGATCATGGAGAAAGGCTTACCATTAAGGAAGACAGGGAGGAGCAATGAACACTTTCCTGACTCAGCCAAGACTTTGGTCCTCAAGCTCTCTGGTGATTGGCAGGTGTGAATTCATTTGTAGCAAAATCATCATGTCAAATTTGTAATAAACAAAGTAAGACTATTTACATGGTTCCAGACCACAAATATTCTCTCTGGGCACCAAAGAAACCCCTGAAGTCAACACTCACATTTACAACATTTAAACAGCCTTAAGACTTTTAACCACAATTGAAATGAGAAGTCAGTTTAATACAGAGCTCTGTATTCATGGAAAACCAAGATATGCTTGTTCCAGAGAGCAAGTGACCATATTTGTCTTATTTAACAATGTTTTCCCATTCTTCTGCCACACAGTGCAGTAATATTGATGGGAAAGACATATTTGGTCACAAAATATTAAAAATGAAGTAACAGCTGTGGCTGCGAACCAAAAGGTCGGCAGTTCGAATCCACCAGGAACTCCTTGGAAACCCTATGGCGCAGTTCTACTCTGTCGTACAGGGTCGCTAAGAGTCAAAATCGACTCGAAGGCAATGGGTTTGTTTTTTTAATCCATACCTACTGAGGCCAGGCTTCTGAAGATTTCCATCATCACATCTCTGTAGAGTTGCCTCTGAGAAAGATCCAGCAATGCCCACTCTTCCTGTGTAAAGTCCACAGCCACATCCTCAACAACCACTGAGTCCTAAAAATTATCATATATTCTGGTTCAGCAGATACCATGTACTCCAATGTGTGTGAAAGGAAGGGTAAAGCTGACAGTCCTGGAGAGCTGACATTTCATGGGGATTTGATGCAAGTTTTGTGTTCTACTAAGGTCTACTCTAGGGGTTAGCCATCCGCCTCATCCCTTCACTGTCTACATTGACTTCCTCATGGACTGCACCCTGTCTCCTAGACTTAACAATCCTTTCAACACAATGAACTTCTCTCTCCACGGTCTGACTGTGACCAGTTGTAGTCTCCCTCCTCTCTACTTTTATGGTCTAGAATGGTCAGAATACATAGCATCAATTGGACAAATGCTCCACAGTGAACACCTTATTTCTGTATTCGGATCATCTCTTCCTTGTGAAATAAAAAGAAGTTCACCTCCTTGCAAGGACCCTGCAGACTATTTAACAAAACATGAAACACAGAGTGAAAGTAGGATGAAATGTTAAGAACTGGGGAAGACTGGAAGGCTGGCAGTGTTTCCTTTTGCCCTTCAGCAGCCATGGGGGCTCCAGTGGCCTATACGAAGGGGTAACCCAACTCAAGGCCCAAAGCTTCTCATGTTTTCTTAAAGAACTCCACGTGATCAAGGGCTGACAAGACCACCACCTAAAAAGAAAGTATTATTTTGAGGAACTGCAAATTTAGGAACTGCAAATTTTTACAGGTCTCTCACCTACTTTTCAATAACTCTGCAAGTGCACTGTCATGCACTCTGTCCCTTCATGGAGACAGGCAAGGGTATTGCAAAGGTAAACGGAGATCAGCTGAGACACAGGAAACAAGAGAAACTAGATATGAAATTTTCAAACTTTGAGGCCCAAAGCTACTGGACAGCAATTATGAGTAACCCTCCCTTCAACAAATCAAACCCAGACACCTACATACAAATGTTATGACAAAAAGCCTAATCTTTGAAAAATCAGAATAGCATGCCCTTGTGTTTGCTGACCATGAACAAGAGGTTAAGAGTCACATTTTCTAGTAAGTCCACTGATGTGCAGGGGATTTAGCTACTACACTACTCACGCATCCTAGGAAACAGCTACTTACACACCAACCCTGTGGACGATCCACTCCAAAATTTTCTCACTTTTGCAGCCCTTGGAAGGCACACAAGCATGATCACCTGAACCCTGACCACTGACATTGTCTGGGATGCAGGACTGGCATACATAAAATAGCATCAACCATTTAGCTCCCTACATGTAATGATGATACAAAAAGCAGCTACACAGCACTTCTGATGGTACAATTTTACTAAACAGGTGACAACTGTAGAACAGATAGGCTACGGGGTGAAATGAGCTATCTAGGTCACTGCTAATGAATCCTGGTAAGATACTGTCACAACAGTCTTTGATCCAGCGCCATATTCAAAAGTCTTGTCCACCGCAGTGCAGCACATTACATATTTTAAAGCCAAGGAAAACTCTTACTTCCTATAACACATTCGTGATAAAATGTTGCATTTATTGAGCAATTAAAATATTTCAAGGGATCTGCAAAAAACTTTCAGCACACTAGTTCATTATTCCTCATGTCCCTCCTAAGTAGATATTGCTTCAAATGTGTTATCATATGGAAAATTACGATCAATTTATCACTTAGTCAATGTTAACCAAATGGTATGTTGCTGAGCCAGGGTGAGAATGCAGGTCAATATGCCAAAGACTAAATTCCTGACAACTACATTTCTGTGCATATGCCTACAGTTTTCTTGTTATTCTGGCTGTTAATCCTCAATTACATGCATGATCTACAGCCTGCTGGGTAATGGGGACAGGAGACAAAGGAAACATCCTCTTCAATTCAGACAACCTGGATCTCCTTCTCCTGGCAAAGCCCAGTGTCTCAGGCAAGAATACTTCCCTTCAGGCCCTTTGTAATAATTGTGCGGAGAAGCAGTGTCTGACCTATAACTTCACAAGGTAGAATGAGAATCAAGAACAGCCCAAGGCTGATTCCTATGAGGCAGAGGGCAGACATGCCTCCTCTCCCTGCCATCTTTACCAATTCCGATACCAACTTTCCCTCTCAAAGCATTTTCTACTTCTCTTCTCAGTTTGGTAATTCATTGCAATGGCCACATGGAACTCACACACAATACTCACGATTATGGGGTTTATTAGGGAAGTAACTGGTTACAATTCAGCCTCAGGAAGGCTTAGGATACAATTCTTCCATCATGACAGTCTCTTCTCAGCTTGCCCACCCACGCACCTCTCTCTGGTCTCTTGTCCTCTGCCCTGCTCGGGCAAGTGTTACAAAGCTATTTTAGCTCTTCAAGTAAGTACCCTGAACTACCCCAGTCTGCCAGGAAGTCTAGGCCTGAAGGTGCTCAGCTCTAGCTTTCTGGGTCAGCAAACTTAACTCCACCAAGTGCCAGTAGGCACCCTACCCCGCCTGCAAGCCTCCTGCCTGGAGGCACTCAGCTTTCTTGCACTGTGGGCTGGGAACACCACCATGCTGTCTCTTAATGGTCTTCTGCCAGCCTACTGATTCTGCTGCCTCTGCTGTTCCATTCCACTGCTGCTGCTTCTGGACATCTTTCTGTCTTCGGTGCTACAACTATCTCTCTGTCTCCTGCGTCACAGGGATCCCAGGTCCAAGAGGCACTCCCCACTCCTGTTTATACTTCTTTGGTCCTGGTGAGATCCTCTCTTCGCACCTCTGGCATGGCTCATTTTAAGCCTAGCAGGATGGTAAAACTGACCAATCCCCTCATTTAGGGTTCCATATGCCTTATTAGCATGGTCCCACTCAATCATTTGGTTGGAGTTACAAAGACTATAGCTAGAAGGGCCATATTAAGTAATTCACTACACTGCACTAGTCCACCTGGCTCGGTCTTTCATTAAAACTCTTTAGGTAATATGGACACAGAGGCAACTTCACACAGGGAAAGCAGATACAGCACTGAACAAACCAGAAATATCCAGATACACATAGATTGTAACTTCTTTGGGTGTGGAAAGCAAATAAACTAAATATAAAGTTCCCTGGGTGGCACAAATAGTAAACGTTTGACTGCTAATCAAAAGGCTGTTGGTTCAATGCCACCCAGAGGTTTCTTGGAAGACAGTTCTGGTAATCTGTTCTGACAGATCAGAGACTTGAAAATCCTATGGAGCTCTGCACACATGGGGTCGCTGTGAGTCAGAATTGACTCCACAGCAACTGTTACGGATGGAATTGTGTCTCAAAAGGATGTGTGTCAATTTGCCTGGCGATGATTCCTAGTATTGTGTGGATGTCCTCCAATTTGTAATCTGATATAATCACGTATGTGTTGTAAATCCTAACCTCTAAGATGTTAATGACAGGATTAGAGGCAGTTAATGAAACAGGACGAAATCTACAGGATTAGGTTGTATCTTGAGTCAACCTCTTTTGAGATATAAAAGAGAGAAATGAGCATCGGTGGCAGGGGGACCTCCTGCCACCAAGCAAGAGCCAGGAGTGGAGCACATCCTTTGGACCAAGGGTCCTTACACTGAGAAGCTCCTGGACCAGAGGAAGACTGAAGCCAAGGATTTTCCCCAGAGTCCACAGAGACAAAAATCCTTCCCCTGGAGCTGGCACCCTGAATTCAGACTTCTAGCTTCCTGAAGTGTGAATGAATAAATTTCTGTTTGTTAAAACCACCTACCTGTGCTATTTCTTTCACAGAAGCAGCAGAAAACTAAGAGAACAACTAACAACAACAATATAATGTCATGTGGTGATAAGATCTATGAAAAATGCAGCATGGTCAGGAGATGAGTAATAGAAGCATATTTACTTTTAGTGAGTTAGTGCAGGGAAAAGTAAAATAGTTATTTTATGAAACACAACCTAGTGAGACCTGGGTTGGTAAGGAAAAAGAAATATATTTGTAATTCTAAAAACTTGGAACTGCTCTGTGATGATTCTGCAAACACTCATATATATATTTCAGATGTTCACTGACTTTAAGAACTTCCAGTGTAGGAATATAGCAGTGAAAGAGTGCCACTGACCTGCACTGGCTGGAAAGGGAAGATACACTGGTTATTCACAAAATGAAACGGTCATTAGCAAATGGTAAACATGTACACTAGGGCACTGGAAGAATAAAAGCAGCATGAATAAATACTATCAAAAAAGTAAAGAAAACACACAATAGTAATGATACAAAACACAAATGAAGATTTCAGGTTTTGGTCTGACAAGAGGTTGAAGTCATCACTCCTATCCTCAAGAAAAAGCTGAACATACTGAACCAAGAGTTTAAAGTCATAGGAAAAGGATTGCCCCCCAAACTGGAAGAACACATAGGCAGATACAATCATTCCAGAGTAGAACCCCAGAAGCAGAGTTCCTATGTGTCCCTGCAGTTTGGGGGGCAGTCATTTGCCCTGAGACCATAATAGCCTAATTCATTGAATTTATTGAAAACAATGATCAGAGCGAAGACTTGAGAAATGCAAAGGAATTACCGAAGGGACAGCTGAGAATAGACTGTTCCAGGAGGAGAAAACACCAGAGCACAGGTCAGCAGGTTAGAGTGAGCCTGGTATGTTTTAGGGAGACCCAAACCCCAGCATGACCAGAGCAGGGTGAGATGCTGAAAAGAAAACAGTAGAAGAATTTGAAGAGGTGACTGGAGCCAATGGGCGTATCATGTTCTGGGGAAAGTGCTGACTCCTGAAAAGACTCCGGCTTCTCATCTGAGTAAAATGCAGAGCAATTTTACACCTTTGATCAAAGATGAAAAATATGACAGCTCTTAAAGAATCTGTGTGTGGGGGCAAATGTAAAAGTTGCAAGCCATGTTAGAGAGTTTTGGCCATAATTCAGATAAGAAATGATGAAATTGGGCACATACGAAAACTGTATACCAAAGCACATACTTGCAGAAAACGTAAATACTTTTCTAGCAAAAGCAGGTAAAAACCGAGGACATTATTCCATTCCTAGTCAGTGTTATCGTAGAGTCTGTACCCAATACATACCAAAAAAGAAAAAGAAAAAAGGTAAACAAGAATGTTGAAAAGGAAAAACACCCCAATCTATGTTTTTAGGTTAAATAATTGGATATGTAGAACTTCCAAGAATAGTACAGATGATTTATAGTGGTGACAGTATTCAGATTACAAAATAAATATCAAGGTAAGGATTATTTTAAATATTTCATTTATATACAGTAGCAACAAGCAGTTGAGTAATCTTAAAAAGATATATTTTTAGTAAGAGTAAAATGTATCAAAAAATAGTACAGTTAATGAGAGCTTCTAATGAAAAAACTATGAAATACTATTAAATGACACACAAATAGACTGAAATAAATGAAAACATAGTACACGCTCTTAGACAACTGTTCTCCACAAATAGATCACTATTTCCAATGAATTTCCATAAAATTCTAACCAATTTTAAAATGTATACGTAATTGTAAATATCCACATACAACCAAGATATTCTAAAGAATGACTCGTGGGCTTGTCCACATATATCATATATACAATTGTATTCACATATATTTATTTTATAAATGGAGCTATATGAGAAAGAATGGTATTATCATAAGAATACATAATAGATCAACAAAAATAAATAAACATCCCAGAAAAGGTCCACCAATATCTATAGAAAGTTGACACAGTAAGCTCTGCAGGACAGTGGTAGAAAGCACTCACAATTTAATATGTGGTGCAGAATCAACTAATTGGAGTCCCTGGGTTGTGTAAACGATTAAGTGCTCAGATTTATTAAGCGAAAGGCTGGAGGTTGAAGGAAAGATAAAGGCACCTTGGAAGAAAAGTCTGGCACTCTACTTCCCATAAATTAGCCACTGAAAATCCTGTAGAGTGAAGTCCTACTTTGAAACACATGGTGTTGCCGTAAGTCTGAATCAAGTAGAAGGAAAATGTTTGTTCTTTATCAGATAATTATCTGATTAGAATAGTGTATTCCTATGTAGTCCACATACAAAAATCAATTCCAGGTAGATAAACTTTAAATATGAAAATGTAAAAACACTTTCAGAAGTTATAAGCAACTGATCCTATAACATCAGAATAGAGAAAAATCTTAAATAAGATCAAGACATAAGAGAAAAAACTGAGAAATTCAACTATTATTAAAATTCACAGCAATTCATCAAAGGGCAGCAAGAATGAGTGAGAAGAAGTTACATACTAGGGGGAAATTTTCCAAAGTTTACAAAAAACAAAACAAAACCAGATGCCATCGAGTCGATTGTGACTCACAGCAACCCCATAGAACAGAGCAGAACTGCCCCCATAAAGTTTCCAAGGAGCAGCTGGTGGATGCGAACTGCTGACCTTCTGGTTAGCAGCAGAACTCTCAACCACTGCATCATCCTACAAAGTCACAGAGATAGAAGTTAACAATGGGAAATATGCACAGTGTTTTCAGTTGTGAAGTAGGGTAGGGAACTTGAACAATAAAATCAAAGATATCATTTTATACCCTGATTAGAACACCAAACATTACTTCATTAGATAAAAGAAACAAACAAAACCATTGCCGTTGATTCGATTCTGACTCACTGCCACCCTATAGGACAGAGTAGAACTGCCACATACGGTTTTCAAGGAGAGGCCGGTAGATCTGAACTGCCGACCTGTTGATTACCAGTAGAGCTCTTAACCACTGCGCCACCAGGGCTCCAATAAGCCGATGGAAAAATAAGATATATATGCATATTTTGTGGGAGGCAAAACTTGTAAAACACCTCGGCTCTTTTAGTATATCGGAACTTGACTATGATGTGCAACACAGAGATTTCCCCTCACTAGATAATGATTGTGCAAGAACACTTAAGAGTTTGCAAAGAGAATGAAGAGAATACGAGCAGCAACATTCACAAGAGCAAGAGTTACGCCTGAACCACACAAGTCCTGTAAGCTCTACAACGGGTAGGTAAATTCTGGCCCATTCATACTATGGTAGCTTGCATACGTAGCAAGATGGGTAGACTAGACCGACAGACACCAGGACGTATTAAACTCAAAAGCACTCTCAAGAAAACAAGTCACAGAAGAACTCAGACACAAGTATAACTGAATTTACAGAAAGCTCAAAAGAGGTAAAACTAAACAACACAGACATTACGGATTCAGACTTGGGTGTCACATTCAGCGATGCTTCTTTAGATGTAACTAAACACTCCAAGGGATTGGTTTCCAGGGTTTGAAGGATTAGGACCATACTGTTGTGGGACATCTCTGTCAACTGGCATAATATACTTCATAAAGTTTCTGTTCTAAATTCTAGTTTGGTGAGAAGTGACTGGAGTCTTAAAAGCTTGTGAGCCGCCATCTAAGATACAATTATTGTTCTCTACTCCTCTACAGCAAAAGAGAGCGAAGGATACCAAACACTCAAAGAAGAAATTAGTCCACAAGACAGTCTACGTGAACCACAGCCTCGTTTACCCTGAGACCAGAACAACTAGATGAGATATACCTAGCTACCACTACCGACCATTCTGATCAGGGTTACAATAGATGGACCCTGATAGAACGGGAGACAAATGTGGAATACAATCTCATATTATTACAACAAAAACCTAAACAACAAAAATAAAACAGACTTACTGGAGGATTCCCCAAGAATGTTACCCTGAGATACTCTTTCAACCTTGAACTGAAACCAGCCTGAGGTCACCTTTTAGCTACATAACATATTGGCTCACAAAATAAAGAGCATCACCTGTGAGTACTGTGCTCCATTAAAAAAATCAGCTATATGAGACTCAATGGTCAACAACTGGTTTGAAAGCAAAGATAAGAATGTAAGGGGGCAGGAAAACTAGACTGATGCAAAGGGAAAACCCAGAACAGAAATATTGAGAATAGTCACAAATCGTGAAGAATGTAACCAATGTCACTGAACAATTTTTGGAGAAACTCTTCAATGGGAACCTAACTTGCTGTGTAAATCTTCATTAAAAGAAAACCATGAAACGTTATTACAAAAAAGACTTGGCTGTCGAAGTTATAATAATAGAAATAATAACTGTAATAATAATAAACTTCTCAAATGCAGACAGCAATCATCTCCAAGCAGGAGGTAGATGACAGCAGGGTGGGACACTGGGAGGCCATAAAAACTGACAAGGTCTATTTCTTATCAGGGATTTAAATTCTTATTAAACTACACAATGAACTGTTTATGCAGTCCTAGTTTATGATACAGTTGACAATAAAACCAAAACAACAGCTTAAAACAAAAAACAAATACAATTTTCACATAATAATTTTACAGTCACGTGAAAACTTCATTTTGATTTAACTTGTCTTAGTTCAGAAGGGCTTGTATGTCTCAACACTTGATACCTGGATCTTAGAAATTTACAGTTAAATTCACGAAAGCAAGCTTTATAAGAGTGAAATACTGGACACAATCAAGCATCCATTCTTGGCAGTATGGTCAAAACAATAAACAAAGATCAACCGTATACAGTACTAATGAGATTTACAAGAAATTAGATTTAAGCTCTCCATCTATTGCTAGAAAAACTTCAGGGAAATGGGTTAATTAAACAGCAAGTGTAAATTCCAAGCCACCTTTTGTGTAACAAAGTAGGAGAAATAACGTATTTTACTTTTGAATTTTTACTCTTACATCTGCTAAAATAGGCATTTTTCAGTGTCTGAGAAGTTTATATCCATTAAATTGAAAAATTCTCAGTAGAAACAAACTGAACTAGAAATTTTCTTCCAATGGAAACTGTAAACTCAAAAAGTTAAAAATACACTATCTCATATTCTGAGCTTGTCTCGCAAAACAGAACACTTTTAATTTCCCATTCGAGACAGTCTGGTGGTATAGTGGTTAAGAGGTATGGTGGCTGCTAACCAAAAACCTGGCAGATCAAATCCACCGGGCGGTTCCTGGCAACCATATGGAGCAGCTCTACTCTGTCTTATAGTGTCCCTATGAGTTGGAATCGATGGCAACGGGTTTGGTTTTGGTTATCCGAGACTGTGGAGAGCAAGTGAAAATTACAGGGACTCACTACCAGCTCTAGGAAGAGATGGGTGGGAGGATAAAGACACAAACTGGGGAAACATGCTTCCCACACACCGGAAAGCCTCAAAGAAGAGCATCCCTCCAAGAAGGATGGATCTGGAGACCCCACACATGATCCAGCTGGACTCACTGTCCTTTGACTCATTTTACTGGTGAGTTCATGAGAGGATCAAGCCCCACCAGGACCCCATTAACAGTCAGGGTCTTTCACTACCAACTCTCTCCCCAGTTTTCCACCACATCATACCGTGTGAGAGGTGGAGCTGCAGTTATAGGACTGCACAGAAAAGGCTCTAGTGCCTCCGGGAAGCCACGAAAACTGTGTGCAGGGAGGGACAAGGATGGCTCTGGAGGATCTGGGGCTCAGTCTCTTCAGCCAGAGCTGCTCCGTCTTCAGACTCTGGTCAGGAGGTTCTGTCATTCAACACAGAGAACCAAGGCCCAGGACAGGGATGTTAAAACCCCATGATGGATTAGAGTCAGAGAAGGACGGTGGCCCCAGGCATCCAAGGCTTGAAAATCCACGTGTGTAGAGGAAGGACCCAGTGACAGTGGAGCAGGGCAAGCAGGATGCCTCTTAGGTCTGAGTTCCATGGTCTCCTCTGTCACCTATTTAGGTCACTGAGGAACCTCAAGGCCTGAAGCACACACTACCCCAATAATTCAAAACAGTCTCACCCCCTAGAGTTACAGTACCCCAGTTCTCTGTAATACGCACCATTTCCTGGCTTCAGCTTCTGAAAGTCTAAGTGAATGTGCTCTCTAAGCCCAGGAAGCCACTTCAAGAAGAGGAATGGCAGGGGAAGCAGAGCCACTGGGCAGTTTGGAGGCAGATGAATGATGTTTTGTCCACACACCAGTCAGAGCAGCTAAAATCCTTACATGTGATTGCCGGGATGTGTAAGGTTGCCCTTGGTCCCCAGCTGCCTAGGCTGCACTAACTCTCCCTGAGCCACACCTGGGACCTGAAATGGAAGAAGGAGACAGTGGTGAGTAAGGAGGAAGTGACAGGTTCCTGGTCTTCAGCTCTTTCCCTGGACAGGGCCTCCCTCCAGGCTCAAGGCCATGCTCCACTCTGAGGGCCTTTGCACTTAAGGCAGATCCTGCTCCAGCCTTCCAGAGCACACACTTGCATTCTTCATGCAGCTCCACAGGCCTCTTCCTCTGGCCACAATGTCACAGAAGAAGGGGCCTCCTCATCCCACAGCACCAGAGGCATCCAGGCGTGCCCAGGCTGGAACACGTGAATCTGGCTTCCCCCATGGTGTCAGGGGTCCAACACTTAGGTTGAGGGTTCACCTATGAAGTTAAGGGTTCACCTCTGTAGAACCACACAGTTGTATTTGATATAAACATTAGTGAATTTTAAGAATGTATTTTTTCACTTTAAGTCAATGAACTCATCACGCATCACTGATTTCTAGTTATGTGCAGTTGAAACTCTTTTGTTATGCTTTATTTTTTTTAAAACTTCGATTTCACTTATACCATGGTAATATGTGATCAGTATTTTTCCTGTTGATTTTGTAAATAACATTTCTTTCTTCCCCTTGAGAGTTTTACTTTTTTTTTTTTTTTCCTTCACTCTCTATCCACGACACCAACAGTCTTTCCAGGAATCTGGAAACATTCTCTTTCAACCTTACAATAATCGATCAACCAATAAACCAGAAAATCATTCACTTTTCTCTAAGGAGCAGCCCCCATGTCTGTTCCTGTTTCTTTCCTCCCCTCCACCCCACCCAGCTGACACTTGTTTTATTTCTTGGTCTCTGTGTAAATGTTTTCTCTCTCGCATGATCGTATTGTATACCAGTTGCTGCTCTTTAAGCATTATCCAACCTGTTATTCATTCTCTAACAGCATTCTCTGGTTTTAACTCACATCCTATTTATACAATAGTTATTTTCAGCATAAACTGGGAGCTTGATATAGAGAATCACAAACGCAAACCAAGATAAAAATCCGCATTTTCACAATTTACCCTGGGGTATCCACATCCAAACACTCACTGCTCTGGAGCCTGTAACTGAAGGAAGGAATATTCTGTCACAGATGCCCTGTCCAAGCCCGCCCACCAGCCCTCTCTGCGGCCCCCACCCCTCTGCTGGCTTCAGTGGTCCAGCCAGGCCCTGCTCGCCTCTCTCAGCCTCCGGCCTGTGCGGGGCTTATCACCTAAGATAGGTAACACCCCAGTCACTCCGGAAAACCAAAATAAGTATGACATTTATCATTTTATCTCCTCCTATAACAAGTCGAGAGGTTACAGTGCAGGATGTGACAGGCGCTCTGTGAAGTAATCAGTGGCCCAGGCTCCTGCTTCCTGCCTTCTCTGCCTGCATCACCAAACGCCTGCATTCTCACTGTGGCAGCTGGCTGCTGTATGAGAAAGAATAAGACTGAAAGATGAGAGCAAAGCATATTTTCTCCTTCTTAGGTTTGCACTGTTTACATGGGAAGGAATGACACCAAGTGACTTTGCCTATGTTATTGCTACGTTGTGTGTCAAATAGCCACCCTTATTATAGCAGAGGAGCCCGATGGTGCAATGGTTAAACTGCTTGGCTGCTCATCAGAAAGTCAGTGGTTCCCACCCACCAGCCGCTCCATGGGAGAAAGATGTGGCAGTTTACTTCAATTAAGATCTACAGCCTTGGAAACCTTATGGGGCAGTTCTACTCTGTCATATAGGGTCACTCTGACTTGCAATTGACTCCATGGCAGTGGGAGTATGATGGAAAATGGGGAGATTGATTGTTCAGAGGTAGAATTCATGCCCCTCACACGGAAAACACAGCTTCAATTCGAGACCAATACACCTCATACACAACCACTGCCGGTCTATCAGTGGGGACTTGCATGTTCCTGTGATGCTGAACAGGTTTCAGGGGAACTTCCAGTCTAAGACAAACTAGGAAGCAAGGCCAGGCGATTTACTTCCAAAGTTTAAAAAAATGGTCAAGGGACTTAGACATTTCTCCAGAGAAGATAACCAAACGCCCAAAAGCACATGAAAAGACTCTTAGGGTCATCTAGGCACTAGAGAAATGAAAATCAAAACCACATGGGATACCACTTCACACCCACTAAGATGGCTACATCAGAAACTGGAAAAGAACAAGCGTTCGTGAGGATGTAGAGAAACCGGAACACTCACGCACTGTGGGTGAGAACAGAAAATAACACAACCACTGTGGAAAATAACTCGGCAGCTCCTCAAAAAGTTAAACACTGAATTACCATAAGACCCAGACACTCCATCTTTAAATTGGCAGTTTGAACCCAAAGTATGTGAAAGCAGGGATTCAAAAAGATACTTGCATACCAATGTGCATTACAACCCTGTTCACAACAGCCAAAAGGTGGTAACAACTCAAGTGGCCATCAACAGATGAATGGATAATACAAAAAACACATCACATGAAACAGAAATTTCGTTCATGCTTCAGCATGGACGAACCCTGAAAACATTATGCTAAGTGAAATCAGTGAGACACAATAGGAAAAATGTTATACGATATAACTTACATGAAATAAGAAGCAAAAGCATAGAGACCGAAGTCTGTTAATGGCTACCAGGGACTCAGGGAGGAGGGAATTGGGAGTTATTGCTTAAGGGGTGCTGAGTTCCTGTTTGAAATGATGAAAAAGTTTTATAATTAGATGGTAGAGTTGGTTGCACAACATCGTTAATATATTTAACGTCAGTAAACTGTACAACTAAAATTGGTAAAAATGGCAAAACTTTAGTTATATATATTTTACCACAATATTTTTTCTTTTTTTAAAGGAGCCACTACCCTCTTCCTTTTAAACGTTTACAGATCATTTTAAAGGTGCAGACCTCTAAACATTCTTCTAGGAGCTACGAAATGAAAACTACAGGGGAGTAACCAGGACACTGGATGTGTGCAATGCTGGCCACAGGGTTTATGCACACTCAAGTTCTGGAACCACCATCAACTCAGGGCAGACCATTTGAAGAAAGAGAAAGGTCAAAGTGCAGATGGCACACTATGAAGCTCTTCGGTTCTGAATCCACAAAGCCTCAATCATTCCCATAAAGAAGGGAAGGGAAACTCAGTCTAGAAAGGCAGGGGCTCTCAAGAGACTCACAGTGGAAAATACAAAGCCATCTCAGGGCAGGTCCTGACTTCTACCTCACCCAGGCAGACCAGGTTCCTGTAGTTCATCCACATTATGCCCCTTTACAAAGCCCTCTGAGCAGGACACAAGCACACCCACTCCTTCTGGGGACAAATCCTTGCGTATCAATAGTAGCTAACATGAAACACTCATTTCCCCAAGGGTCCACAGTGCCCTGGTGGTGGTGGGGGGGGAGGGTTGTTCTTATTTTCACACAATATGAGGGGAGGCAAGAGGCATATGAATCAGTTTTAATTGAGGTAAGGCTATGGCTGGGTCCACGTCACATCATTTTCAGCAAATTATACATCCCTAAATTGAATCTATGATTAAAGTATAAGGGTCATACTTTATTAGCTACTAGCAGGGACTCAGGGGAGGAGAGAATGGGGAGTTATTGCTTCAGGGGTATGAGGATACGAGATCCACTGCGGATTTTATATTTCTGTGGATGATAAAAGAAATATATAAATGAGAAAACAATTCAACAAGTGGTTTTCTTTAACCAAGTGATAAATATTATGTTCTATCCACCAAGTAATGTATATTTTCAGATGAACCAGAGAAACAATCCATCCCATTATGGATGACAAAGAGTCAGTAAGAGGCTTTAAAGAAAGGTTAGCATCTTACCTTGTGATCATAACAGAAAGGATAAGTTTTCACCTGAGACAGAAACAAAACTATGTCCCAGACTCTAAGTTGCTTTGGGTCAAACATCTTAATAAATGACAGAATGCAGGTGATTAGGTTCTAGAACTGAATTCAAAGAATCAAAAAGGCAAGTAAAATACACACCACAGAAAGGACACTGGCAGAGGGTTTCCTAACTGAGAAAACTTGGAAACAAGTTAAAAACCAACAACAAAGAATTAGTTATAAGATCATTATATAAGCACACACATATGCATATACATAATTAGTTACTATTTTTACTACTATTAACATGATGATGTTATTGTTAGGTGCAGTCAAGTCGATTCTGACTCCTAGTGACCCCATATGACACAGTAGAACTGCCCCATAAGTTTTTCTATACTGTAGTCATTAGAGAAGCAGATTGCCAGGTCTTTGTCTCATACAGCAGCTAGGTGGGTTAAACTTCCAAACTTTCGGTTAGCAGCTGAGCTCTTAACCATTCCACCACCAGGATTCCTTATTAACATGATAGTGTAAAAATGCTTAAGGCCCTGGGAAAAATATGTAAAACCAATTCATGAAATGATCAAATGTCTTTTACAGAAACCTAAGGTACACACCTACCAACAGTATAGTTAACCAGATTGAGAGCAGCTGTCTTTAAACCAAGGATTTCCTGGCCGGATTCTCACTATCATTTTCTCTTCATGTTTTTCAGTATTTTAGTGCGATGGACGTATTTAAATTCTACCGCTGCGGTAAAGAATTAGATCTCACCTAAACAGAGCTCTATGGCAGCCAGGTGGCACAAACAGTTAAATGTTCAACTACTAGCCAAAAGGTTGCCGGTTCGAACCCACCCAGAGGCGTTACAGAAGACAGGCCTGCTGATCTGCTTATGAAAGGTCACAGCCTTGAAAATCCTATGGAGCAGTTCTCCTCTGCACACGTGGGGTCACCATGAGGCAGAATGGACTCAATGGCAACTAACAACAATCCCAAAGAGAGTCCTGGCCTTTGTCCTGGCTCCTGGGAAGTAACCTCTAAACCACTGGAATTTCCAGTGATAGGACTGCCTTTGTGACTTGTGGTGGGCCCCTTGGTCCTCACCTGATAGTTTATTCTAAAGAGGTGACACAGTGGAAGCTGGTCATGCCAGAAAGACCCACCA